GTAACAGTAGTTGGGTAACAGTGATGGCTAACAGTAGTTTTTCTTATCTGGGATATTCTTCATTGTTTGTTCTTTGGAACAGAAGCCAGGCTCCCTTCAGCAGAGGGTCACTGAGTACCAACTATGGACCAGGCAAGGTAACAAGAACAAAGGTGACCAAGACACAGTCCCTGCCTCTAGAGATTTCAGAGGAACAGGGGAGACAGACTGGGAGATGATACAGTGCCATCCCTGTTTAGGAGAGGTTCCCCAGGATGCAGCCTCTGGGAGTGGGAAGGAGAAGAGGGAAGGGGGCACCCTTGACTTCAGAAGCCAGATGGTCAGCATTTGTGGGGTGAGTGAGGCTCTTGTTTACCAGCACCATCGATAGGTACGAACTATTACCCACGTGTAGGAAAGAGCCTGGACATGGAGTCATGAGGATCAAGCTTGACTTCCAGTCCTGTCATTTCTTTTCCATACAACTTTAGGCAAACCTCTAAGCCCATTAGATCCTCACTTCCTTGTCTATAAACAGGAAATAAGTGAGACCTGCCTTAACTACTTCACAAGGAGGTAGTCAGGGCCAAATGCGTTGTGAATGAGAAATTGCCCTGTTCAAGGTGAACTTGGCCTTTCTTCATTGTCATTCCTGAGCCTTGCCTCAGCACACACTAAGGTAACAAACTCATTCGGGTTTGCCTGGACTTTCCCAGTTCTAGCAGTGACAGTCCCGTATCCCAGGAACCTCCTCAGGCCCAGACAAACCAGGACAATTGGTTTGTCTATCACATATTCTGACTAGAGGAGTTGTGAGGTCCCTGCTGGTCTTAACATTGTTTTAAATTTTCTAAGGTGTACAATTCAGTGGGGTTTTGTATATTCATAAGGTTGTGTAACCATCACAACTGTCTAATTCCATAACATTTTCTTCACCCCTAAAAGAACTCATTAGCAGTCAGTCCCAATTCTCCCCTCCCCTCAGCTCCTGGCAACCACAAATCCACTTTCTATCTCTATGGATTTGCCTAGTCTGAATATTTCATATAAACGACATCAAACAATATGTGGTCTTTTGTGCCTGTTTCTTTCATTTAGCATAACAATTTCAGGTTCATCCATGTTGTAGCATACATGGTAGCATGTAGTACTTCATTCATTTTTGTGGATGAATAATATTCCATTGTATGAATATTCCACATTTTGTTTATGCATCAGCTGATGGACATTTAGAAACATTTGTTTCTACTTTTTAGCTATTATGAATAGTACTGCTATAAACATTTCATGTACAAGTTTTTGTGTGACCATGTGTTTCCTTTTCTCTTAGGTGAAATTGCTGAGTCATATGGTCACTCGATGTTTAGCTTTTTGAGGAACCACCAAACTTTTCCACAGCAGCTGCAACATGTTACATCCCACCAACAACGTATGAGGGTTCCAATTTCTCCATATCCTCGCCAATATTTGTTATCGTCTGTCTTTTCGATTATAGTCATCCTAGTGGGTGGAAAATGGTGACTCACTGTGGTTTTGATATGCATTTCCCTGGTGGCTAATAATGTTGAGCATTTTTCATCTTATTATTTGGCCATAACACTCAAATTCCAAAATAAGTGGTTGTCTCACTGTGCTGAATCTCCTTGTTGAGAACAAGGGAGCTCTGGCAAGTTGCCAACTCCTGAACAGAGGAGAAGAGCCTCTGGGTTCTGCCCAGGACAAAGGCTAAAATGCCTGTCCATGGCTATAGAATAGTGAAGTCCAAATTCTTTCATGGCATCCAAAGCCCCTCATTATCAATCTCTAATTTCCTTTTACATTCTCAACCCCTTTTTTTCCCTATGTGAATGCTCCACTCCAACAGAGGAGATCTATTTATTGTCCCCTAGAATATATCACTCAAGTTTCCTCCTTTGGATCAATGACAAATGGGAATCTCAGTTCATAAACTCGAGAGTGTGAGAAATGTCACATCTTTTCATTTTATATCAACCAATAAGTTCTATCCCTAACTATTTTCCTGCAAGACTAGTGAGAAATTCTGCCTCAGTCATTTTGTGGACTCTCCTCATTCCTAGAAAGATGTCAAGGTTTCAGGGACTTACACATTGTCAAAACATAGAGGTGGGGGAGATGGAATATGATGATGAGGATTACCACAGAGATAACCGCTGTCCTGGTTCTCATGGCCGCCTCAGTTCTGGTGGTCCTTCTAGGGCTGCCAGAGGCACTGCAGTCTTCCCCCAGGCTGCAAGCCCTGTGCCTAGAAGCTGTCATCCCTGTAAGCACCCCCCTCCCACACACATACACACACACAGTTCTGTCACAGGACTACATTCATGGACTCTACAGACTCTCTCCTTCTCCATGGAGAACTTCTCCTCACTCACATTCTTCCCCCACATTTTGGAAACCCCATGGGGGTGTTTCACATATGGGCCTGGGTGGTCCTTGGAGCCCTTCCTGGGCATCTCCATTTCCTCCTCACCTGCTGCTGGCCTCCTAGGGCTCCATGCCTCCCGGTTGCCTCTCTGGGCTCAATTGGCCTGACACACTACATAAGTAACTACTGTGTGCCTTTTGTTCACATTTCCTCCTGGTGTTGGAGGTCGTCAGCCACTTCCTCATGTCCCAGGCACCCCCAGTAAGTGACCTCCACTGTGAAACAAGTCCATGGCTCAAGGCACCTGTGCTCACCATGGCTTTGCAGAGATTGCATTGGTATGACTTTGTATTTCCTTTCATTTGACATTCTTCTTTCTAGGATTTAGCATGAATCTAAGAAAGGGGAGTCAGAGAACAATCTGAGGTGCATGTACTGTGCTCTACTTGAAATTCTTCCTCCTAGTTACCACGTGATCCAGCAGTTCCACTCCTAAGTATATGCCAAGAGAAATAAAAACATATAAAATTTGTACATGAGTGTTTATAGCAGCTTCTTCATAATAGCCAAAAAAGTAGAAAGAACCCAAATTGATGACCCAGTCAACTGATGAGTGACTAAACAAATTGTGGTATATTCATACAATGGAATATTATTCAGCCATAAAAAAGGAGTGAAGTGCTGATACACAATACAACATGGATAAACCGTGAAAACATTATGATAAACGAAAGATACCAGACACAAAAGTCACACATTGTCTGACAGCATTTATTTGAAATGTCCAGAATAGGTAAATCCACAGAGACAGAAAGTAGATTAGTGTTTGCTAGGGCTAGGGGAGCTGGGCAGATTATAGGGTTATGGCTAAAGGACACAGAGTTTCTTTCTGGGGTAATGAAACCTTTCTAAATTTCATTGTGGTGATGGTTATACAACCCTGTGACTATACTAAAAACCATTGAATTGTAACTTTAAATGGGTGAATTGTAAAGTATGTGAATTATATCCCAATAAAGCTATTACCAAAAAAAAAAAAATCTCCCTCCCTTCCGCTTTAACCCATTGTCCTTAGACCCAGTTTGTTAACTTGTCCTCTCTCTCCCTTAGGATATGTTCCTTCCCAAAAGGTCCTTCCATCCTCTGTGCAAATGAAACCACACTTGACTTTCCAACATACCCATGCACTTCTAAATTTGCAAAAAGTATACCACTTAGGCTGACCTCTAGGATCCCAGCTACAAGTGTTTGTTAATTGGGATACCCCTAGCTACAAAACAGTGCTTAAACTCCTGTCCTAGTTTGAAAGGAAATTAGCACCTGAGAGCCTTCTGCTTCTTCTTTGGCTCTGAAGTTGCTGATAAGTGAGAATATTTTCTGAAGACACCTTGCCCAAGCATCACCCACTTCAACCCACTTCTTCACCTGCGTCTCACTCTGGACTGAAGTGTGACCAGAGATGTGTCAAATGCACGTCTTCCCACATGCTTTTGTGTGAAGACACCAAGAAATGGTTCTACACTCTAGGCATCCAGGTCCAATTCATTTATTACGATACTTCATATCTTTTTGTGACCTCCACAACACTGGACATGAATCAATTGCTAATGGGGAAAGGTTAATACTATTACACAGGAAATATGGCTGTGCCACGCAGCAGGACCTTCATTTTTCCATCATGGTAGAGAAGTTGGAAGACAGAGGAAGAGTGTAAAAGATGCCCTTTTGATGACCACCGTGAAGAATGCTGATCTTACAAAAGGAGCTGCAGAAGGTGGTAGCTGGAGGGGAGATAGATGCCAAGGACGCAGGCCAGAGACAGTGAGAGGTGCCGTGTCAGAAGCCAATTTCATGAATGACTGAAGCATTCAGCCAGCATGCTTGCAAAGAAATAAGAAGGAAGCAAAATGAAGTGCATCAAAGCCTTTTGTAGAATCAATCGATAGGATCTGTTAATTAAAGTCTGCACAATGAGCAGGTCCTCAGGCCAGGAGGAGCACCAAGGCTGCTACCCCTCCAGCCTTCTCAGCAGAGCCAATACCAACACCACCCCCACCCTCTCCCTCAGGCACACAGGGCCTTCAGTGACATCAAGTCAAGACTGCAAGAAACAGAGGGGGCCAAGTGGACTAGAGCCACCCACAGACTTGGGCTGGAGCACTCCCACGATTTCTTCAAAGAAGAGCTATCTTCCACTCTCTGGAAGATTTCAGAGTGAGAGGGGGAGGGGGAAGGAAGACTAGAGTGTTGAGAAATGAAATTCCCAAACAGAATGGGGGAGTTCATCTTTACCAGGAGAAATCCAGGCCAGAGATTTAGAGACCTATGAATCAACAGCACAGGATTTCAGAGATACGACACAGAGGAACCAGAATTCCAGGGGAAAGGACAGGGATCAACAAGGATCTGAAGCTTAAGGATCTCCAGCTTGTGTAGTCTGGAGCACATCTTCCTGAAGGCCAATGCCAGGCCAGGAGTCAGAACCAGGTAGGCAAGCTAAGGCAGGACATGGTGGAAGACAAAGCTCAGGGCTGTTAAATGTTTCTCCAAAACTGTGCATGGGTCTCCACTGGTGGACTTAGAGAGCCCAGAGCTGCTCCCTGAGCTGCTGAAGCTGCTGCTGCTGCTGGAGGAACACGGGTGGCTGCAAGAAGCAAGTCAGGCTGACTTCCCGTGTGGGTTTTCAGTCGGAGCCTTAACGCATTAATAATACATCACAACAGCCTCACATAATGGCAAGAGTGACTGACCCCATAGCTCTCAGTTGCAGGTTCTGAGCGCCAGGTTAAAGATGTGACGTTCACTTGCCTTCTGCTTGACTTCATGTGACCTGTCCCCTGTAACATCTCTCCAGGTCAGAATCTAATTTCAGCAGGGCAAATTCATCATTTAATGCCCTTCTTGTGCCTTATTGATGAGGGAATTGTCAGAATAGGGCATAAGGGCATTTGTGGGCTTCAGAGAGAGAACACATCAGATTTTTAGAGTTTATGGGCTTCAAACACATATTTACAAAAGTATTAGAAGTCCGACACTGGACCAGCAGAGACAAACTGAATAAACTAGACTCAGGAAGAAAGAACTAGGTAGGTTGACAAATGACAGAAACAGAGCAAAGTAGATTTGCAAAACTAAAAAGATAGGACAGACCCAGACAAGTGGGAACACTGCTGAAATGCTAGTATTAGGAAAACCTGAGGTCAGGCCCCTGCTTTTCCCCGGAACTTTTATATGCCTCCTACTGGTGTGGTAACTGATGGCAGCTCAGCCAGCTGCCCCCATGATGAGCAAAGTAACTGGAGGCCCGGCTTCTGGCAGACAATGCCAGCAATCACTGACCTGAGGCTCCGAGCCCAGATTGGTTGAGATATGAGACCACAGACATCTTTAGCCATGGCCACACCAGCTCACACAGGCAGAGGAGACTCCGCAATTTGAATGCTCTTCAGGAGGTGAGGCTTCCATGGTCTTCACTAGTTCCTTTCTTCTCACAAATAACAACTTTTGTTGAAAATTCTTCCCAGTGCCTAATGTTTACCTTCCAATTTCCTCATGAGCCCACTTTCTATTATTCCATCACAAAAGAGCTGGAGAGCAATGACGAAGACTCTCCTAGACCAAACTTTAGTCGGGCTCCTCTGAGCCCTCTTCTCGTCTAGGCCTTGACCTTGGCTTTCTTGTCCTACCATGGCAAGCCCAGTTTTAGAAGAATCCTGTTAGGTCATCTCCCAACCCTTGATATCTGGTTACCCTTGATATCTGATCAGGTTCCCCATCTCCACCCTTGATGTCTAAGTCCATGGCCTGTCTTTAGCAAGAATCTTATTAGGCTAGTTTTACAAGAATCCCCCTACCCTTGATGTCTCCACTTAGTAATTTTCCATCCATTGATGCCCTCATTCTGCTCGCTGGCTATAAATCTCCAGCTGTCTTTGCTGTATTAAGAGTTGAGCTCAATCTCTCTCCCCTATTGCGATAGAGTTGACTCGTTTTACAGTAGTCTTGAACAAAGTGTTCCTTACCATTTTAACAAATGTCCAGTGAATAATTCTTCTTTAACAACAGCTCCCATTATATTCTTTTCCAAAAGTGCTCCTTCTTTAAATAGTAAGTGGCCCCATAGCTTCCTCATCTTCAATTTAAATAGTCTAATGACCATCACACTTCACATGGATCTTCTCCCTCACCCTCCTGGCAAAGTCTGTCTCTTCTGCCTGAAGATCTGATAGTTTTGCTGATTAACATGAATGGGACTAAATATCCTGAATGTTTCACTTGGAAGTTAAGTGGAAAAGCCAATTGTGTATTATGGATCTGAAAAGACTTTCATTGGAATGTCTTGGAATGGAATTATCAAGTCTTTCTTTAATTAATTTGGTACAAAAGTTTATTGTGAGGAGCTTCTGGGATGATGCCACTGCTCTGATAAGAGAGTGGAACTGCTGCCAGTTGAACTGCTGCCATTTGAGTGTTTGAAAGCCTCGGTTTTACAGTCTTGAAGAGTCCCTCCTGCCCTTCGGTTACCTGGCAACTCACAAATGGGCTCCGTTGCAGACAGAAGTCAAAAGGATAGCCCAGTGACCACTCCATTGGTGTGTTCATCAATTGTAAATAGACTATTATGCAGATAAGTGGAATACAAATGGTAGTGGGCTTTGTCAGCCTACTAAAGGAATCAGAAATTTCAGGAAAGTAAATGAAGAGATAAAATTAAAAAGACTCAATAAAGTGAAAGTTTTGCCCTTAAGAGAAAAAAATAACATACTTGGGATCTGAAAATCCATTTTCTTTTTAAAAGTAAAATTTTTTCACCTCTTAGCAAGAAGGAGATTAATCACTCTGACAACCCTAATCCCACTCTCCTGAAGGCTGCCAGCCCTTCCCAGAGCACCGCACACAGACGCAGCACCCAGTCCGGGTGTCAGGGCGTGGAGCACATGTCTACACCAAAACCTTAGGGTAGGGCACAGCTCTGTTTGAAGATACTTTGCAATTTTCAAGATTTTCCTCAAAATATGCTTTTGTTACAGGGAACTTTTCAGAATACCTCCAAGGAAGATATTTTAGCACATACTTGGCTTTTGTAGGGGATGGAAAACTTTTCCTCTACCTTCTTAAATTCAGTGGCTGAGGGGCCTTTGAATTAAAATGACACCAGACAGATTAACAGGAGAAAAAAGCATATGAATTTATTAATTTTTAATATTACATGCATGGGGGCATCACAGTAGGAAGTTGTGGGGGATCAGAATTGGCCACCCCAAAATGTGTCTCTTTGGCTTGATTATTTTTAAGAACAAAAGACTCTGAAAGAAACTTTGACCTTCCCCCTAACTGCCTAAAAGAATTTAAGATAGAAGGCCTGTCCCCAGGACAGGCCATCACCATAGAGAACTCTGGGTATTGGTAGACTGGGAGGGTCCTTACTAAGCCCATTTTTATCAAAGTTCTATCTCTGGGGTCACATTGTCTATAGATGGCCCAGCAAACATTTGTTTATCAAACATTTGCATTTCCATCTCTATGTAAATTGTCTTCTTCCTCCCCTTTGAAGTCCCAAACCACTACCCCCAACATCCTCCTTTGTCCTTAGCTAAAGATGGTATTTAAGGTGGTGGCTTCAGTCATTCTGGCGAGTTACTCAGTTTTCCTAGGTTTCTCCCATGTATACATGTTATTGAACTTTGTTTGATTTTCTTCTGTTTTTCTGTCTCCTGTCAATGTAATTCTTAGACCAGCCAGAAGGACCTAGAGGGTAAAGGAATAGTTCCTCCTCCCTACAAAGTGAATACCTAAATGAGTAGTGAGATTTGAGAGCTTATATACTGATGGGGTTCAAGACATGCTACCCTAAAATATGGCAGCTTGGCATATTGAATACTTTAAGCTGAAGGAATTTGAGAAAAGGCGTGCGCAAGAAGGACTTTCTGACCTGCCCTTGAAACAGGTCATAAAACCCTCCTGTGAGAGGTGCACTCCCTAGAGGAGGGAAGGAGCATCCTTATTTCTCAGATCCCTGAGAGGAATCTGAACGAATAGCCCTTCTGTTTCCCCCAATTTACTATGACAAGAGATTTTCACATGTTGAGGGATATGGGGTAGCTATTCTGGTTCAAACTGATTCAGCTTGAACTAAAGAAGCCTGACTTATGGCCTGTCAAACACACACTGTACATCTGTTTTAACTATTAAAATAAAGAATGCATACCTCCCACACCCACCAGTATCAGTAATGCCCATATTAGTACTCCTGAAGATAAATTCCCTTTCCCACACATCAGGGTCAAGTTGACCTGCCAATTTGCTACTAAATACCTCCTTGAAACTTTGATGAACATGTATCCTAGGCATGTTGAATGTATGTTCTTTGTTCTGAAAAGGTATAAAACTGTACTGAAAACCATGCTTCTCTGGAATGCTTTCTTCCTTTGTGGAGGCTGCCTTCCCAGATTATAGTCCTTATCTGGCTCAAGTAAAGGTTACCTTATCTTTCTCTCATCTATAGAACGGTTATTGCTTATTCTGCATCGACAACTACACTTACCTCATATCCTTTTTTGTCCTATCACATTTTTCCACTACTTTCCACTCTTCATCCAATCTACAAATGCTCAGGTTTAACCACCTCTTCAGGTCGTCATTTCCTTATGAAGTGTCCCATGTCACGTAAAACTTATGTTAATAATGTTGTATGCTTTTCTCTTGTTAATCCGCCTTTTGTTTACAGGGCCCCAGTTGAGAATGTAGAAGGGTAGAGGAAAAAGACATTTTCCTTCCCTACTATACCATCTTAAAAGGGAATGGGGAGGGGCAGAGGGGCACTTCTGGGTATACAAACGTCTTCTTAGAAGGGGTGTAGAAAGGGCACTGTGGAAACACAAATGCCTTTTTAATTTTTTTTTTTTTTGAAGATAAATGAGCCCTTAGGAGACTAGGAAGGAGATTTGATCGTTTTGTAACAATGTCTGTCTGGATGTGGTGCCCACTTCTGTCCAAGAAGAGAAGATGAGAGTTGCTCCCTGGGAGGGGTTTTAGCACAACTGAGGGCTTTCGGGAGGCTATGCTTTTAGGCAGATAATGGATTTCAGGAACTCAAATGCCTTCAGCTCAAAATAATTCTTTTGCCAAAGTGGCGTATTTTGGGGTAGCATATCCTGATCTCCTTCACTTTATTTTTTTTGTTTGTTTGTTTTGTTTGTTTGTTTATTGCAGTAACATTGGTTTATAACATTGTAAAAATTTCAGGTGTACATCATTGTACCTCTATTTCTGCATAGATTACATCATGTTCACCACCAAAATACTAATTACAACCCATCACCACACACATGTGCCAAATTATCCCTTTCACCCTC